GTGAAAGTAGCTAAATTAAAAAGGTCAACACTGAAATTACTAGTCTCAATGTCTAATTAATAAATTTACATAGAAAAATGATTAAATTATGTAAAAAAATAGCAGATATCAGTAACACATTTGAAATTATGAATCGATCAATGTTAGACCACCAACAGTAGAAACCTGGAAGCATTGAAGGACGGCAGTTTGGTCTTGACATGGGACTCGTCAGTGGCAGTGCGCATCGACGACTCCTGCTGACATTCGCAGGATTCGGACCCAAGACAATTGGTCTTGCGCATGAACACCTAACCCCTTGACCACTGATGAGTCCCATACCAGAACGAAACGGCCGTCTTTCGGTGGCTTCCAGGTTTCTAATGGTTTGGTCTAACATTGATCTATTCATGATTTCAAATGTTTAACTTAACAATCTTCACAACGCTGTAATAAGATATTAGTTAGTAAAACTATGATTCCTAGCATGCTCATTCACAAACATTATGATAACGAAATTTCGTTCACGTTACAACTTAGATTCAACCTTTGTCGAGATATTCAAAATGGCATAACTAAAAAACGTAAAGATAGGACACTTGTCCTAGGATACTTAAGAAGTTTCTGTTGACATTGTGAACACTTCTGCACCTGCAGGAATTCAGAACAACTCACAACTGTCTGAATACTTGAAATATTGGCCCGTCCACATTATTGAAAGTTTTGAATTATTTTTTCTGGTTAGCGTTTTTTTGGCAAGTTAGTTTTTTGACAGGATGGGGTCGCCAACCCCATCCCCAACCCTCCTCCTTTATCCGGGCTTGGGACCGGCAGTAGCTGCGAAGTTTCTACTGGTGGAGTTACACTATTGGAAGTAAAGAACTGTTATGCTCGTCAATTGATATGCTTGAAAATATTACGAGTTCACCTTAGTCGGTAAACGGTAGCGAAGACAAATGATCCAGTGACACGATAAGCCACTCTAATCTGAGCGTCACAAGGCCCCACTAAGTAGAGGAAGGAGTCTTGATATGGCGTAGAAAGTATATTTCACAAGCACAGAAATCGAGTTTATTTATATATGATAGAAACGTCCTTGGGAGAGCCACAAAAGTAGCGTACTATAATAATACATAAAGCAATAACAGTCGAGGATTTTCCGAGTGGGAAATGTAATCTCAAGGTCAACTGATTAGCTCATGCACTAACACATTAAATCCAAATTTAGGACCCTAATCAAGTGACCTCTGGGAATCTAACGTCAACAACAAGAACACAATATGTGTAGGCTCTTGCAAATTAGGAAAGAACACAGCAATGAACAGAACATATATTATTCGTAAACAACAGTTTACTATAATTGTGTTATTCAACCAATTAAATTGAAAAACAATCGACCAACGAGTGTTTGAAAATGGCTTTACTGACTTAAACCAAAACATGGCTAACGCCTAAATAACTACCTATGGAAACAGTGACGAAATTCACTGATATCACTGATCAATCATTGTTAGACCACATCATTAGAAGCACTGGAAGCACTGAAAGACTGACGTTTTGTCCAGGTATTCGGACTCATCAGTGACCGTGCCTACACACAACTCCTTCAGCTGGTCGCAGCATTCAAACCCATGACCTTCGACATTATCTTGTAAATGGTACCTTGTTATCATTCTGATTTTGTTTGGGATGTTAGATCCCCAAAACTCGCTTGATAAATGCCTTATTTTGGATTTTACGTTTGCCAGCATGGGCTGATCAGTTGACCTTGAGATTTCAATTCCCACCAGGAAAATCCATGGCTGGGATTGGCTGCTGAGATTTGAAGTGTGCTATTTTCGTAACTGTCTCAAGGACGTTTCTATGATGTATAAATAAACAAGATTTGTATGCTTGATAGTATTGTGATTGCTGGGTGTTTGTAGAATATACTTTCTACGCATACAAAGCCTTTTTACTGTAGTTGGGGATTCAAGGTAGCCTACCTGGACGCTGATTAATTGTCTCGTTCGCGTTTATCGACTAAGGTAAACTCGTAATAGCCTCAAGCATAATTAGTGACGAACCCAATAGTTTTATAGTAAATGAATTGGCCTTTTGCCCACCTTTTTATCACAACCAAAGTTTTCAAGTTATTTGTAGAACAGTTGAACTATTTTGACATCTGTATTGAAATTCCTGATTTTGATTTTGGTTGGAAGTTGCTTGGAGTTCCAGATATTTTTCAACTGTAGAAACGCAGCCCTTGCTTTGCCAATCCTAGCCCTCACATCTGCATCCGATCCACTTTGGTTGTCGATGATGCTACCCAGATATATAAAGGTGTTAACTTCCTCCAAAGCATCTCCATCAAGAGTGATTTGGTTGGTCTCGCTTGACTACTCATCCTTATTTTTTCAACATAAATTGTATTCTGTTAATTATTAATACGAATAGTCGGGAATTGATTTTTGGTTAGGTACTACTGGTGGTGCTCATTCATTTTACTCTATTTTAATTTAAACAGTTGTCATAGTTGTTTTTATCGGTACAATAAAGTAGTAATTATTTTCACCGGAGAATGGATTGTTAGTTACATGCTTCCCCCGACTAGTATTCTGCAACCTACTCTGTCCTAGGCTTTCCTTTCTAGTTCTGTCCAATTTTTGTTCATTCCTCTCATGTCTTTCTGAATTTCTCGGTGTAATGTGTTCCTTCGCCTTCCTCTTTTCCTTTGTTGACCTTGAGGTTCCCAAGTGAGAGTTTGTCTTATGACGCAGTGTGTGTCCTATCTAAAGTCCAGCGCTTCTTCTTGATTTCTTCGTCCGTTGGATTTTGGTTTGTTCTCTCCCACAGCCATGTACCTAAATTATTAGTAATTATTTTCTGCGTCGTATCTGTCTGTCTGTCAGTCTATCATAACAGAATGGATTGTTATTTACTTTGTTAAATAAGTTTTTGATATTTTTATCTTTTGTTGTCCATGAAGTATCACTGACAAGTGAACTGCGTCATTTTAGTAGGTGTAGACTACCAGGCTAAGGTCCTCTAGTAACTTGTGGTTAGAGATCTTGAATGACATGGCTCAAAATCGTTTACAATGGCTCAGATGCATTCATTCTTTGTGTTCTCTCGAATTCTAATCTTTTCAATTCCCTATCGCCTCTATCTTTCTCTTTTTAAGTTTAGTTGACTGGATTATACTTCTTTAATGAAATATTCAGACTCGAATCTTTCCGATTACGGTCAATACTTGTACTACCTCTGTAGTGAAGGAGAACATAGGTGGGGCAACCGAATTGCATTTAACGAAAATTACAGAGTTACTCAGTAAAATCGGAAAACCATTTCGTAAATCGTTAATTTGCAAAATATTAGTTCATCATATCGAACTGGACTGTTCCTGTTGCAAAACATCAATCCATTGTCACTATTCATGCGTCTCATACAAATTCCATTGTGTTCTAACTCTTCCTTTCTTGATCTTCCCTCATCTTCTGCTGCCAGACATTACGTTGACACTCTCGTCATGTACTACTTATAAGTAGCTCGCACCACACCTCTACCACTATGGTATTTTGATAGATAATTGCTTCTCTGAGTACATTTCAATCAGAAATGATTCCAGTCCCAAGGCTGGATAAAGGAGGAGAGTTGGGATTAGCGACCTCATCTCATAGATCGTCAGCAGGCTTTACTCCTCAATAAACATGAATATGTGTGTATATGAAAATGTTCTACCCAGTCAACGCAATTTATTATGAGTCAATAATCACAATGAAATAGATTACGTCACTACACATTGCCCTAAGTAAAAGTTCAAGTTGATAGTAGGAATACAGATTCCACTGATAGTAGTAAGAATAATAAAATATCATAACAAGTGTCTCTCCATAATTCAACCTTGGAAATAGTAGTAGTAGGTCAAACTTGGATAAATAGACCTAAATTAATAACCACAAAGCTCTATTAGAATTACGTAATAAGCAGAGAGTAAAATAATTATATCCGGAGCCAAAGGAGTGAGAGAGCACATAAATCGAGGTTGAATGGACGAATCCCTATGGTTTCTACCGATTAGAGGAGACCAGACCGAACTCCTTAGGGAAATGATGAAGGTATAAGATAGATCACTCGAAACAATTCACATTTATCAATCAGATATACCAAGACAGAACTGAATATTGTTTATGCATGGTGTTACGCCACTCCATATTGACATGCTATGCTCGGCTGAATGAAATAAGGATTGTATTACAACTGGACTGAGTCATGTTGGTAGATGTAGGCTACGTGATTGGGGTCCGCTAGACGAAAGTCACCGATGGTTAGAGACCTCAAACGACATGGCTCAAAATCATTTGCAATTGCGCAAGTGCATCCATTCTTTGTGCTCTCTCGAATACTAATCTTCTCGACTCGTCAGAACCCTACCATTTTGTCTTTCTAACCTTATCTTCAAACCCTAGTCTTCTTCATTACCATTAATACCTCTACTATCTTTATCACTATGGGATTTGATTTGACATTTGCATCTCTCTGTGCTAGTGTGGTTTGGTAACCTGAACTGATGTACATACGGTACGAAGTTCTACGTTGCAACTGACTGACTGACTGACTACTACTATTATGGTGTGAGCTACTTACAAGTAGTATATGACGTGAGTGTCAACGTAATGTGTGGCAGCAGAAGATGGAGGAAGATCAAGAAAGGAACAGCGGGGGGAACACAATGGAATTTGTATGAAACGCATGAATAGTGAAATGTCAGACAATGGATTGATGATGGATTGAAGATTTGCAAATTAACAGTTTACGATATGGTTTTCCTATTTTACTGAGTAACTCTGTAATTTTCGTTAAATACAATTCGGTTGCCCTCATCTGTGTTCTCCTTCACTACACTACTACTACTACTACTAGTTATAATCTATCACTCTACATGAACTACCCGCCTATCTTTATAAGCACTGAATGAACGCATTTTTCACATTTGAAATTCTTCATTTTTCTTTTCTTTTTTTTTTCTTGTAATCTTTCAGTATCTTCATCACCTACTTCATTTATTAATACAACATGTATTATCCTATTTTACACCATGGGAAATTGATCCAGAAAAATTAACATCTACCCAGTGTATTGGTGGTGCACTCAGTGCATCAGATACAGCTGCTTATGCTGTATCACCTAGTGGTATGTTACAAAACTATCGATCAGTCAGTACAGATACATTAATTGGCAATCAATTAATGCTGTTAAGATATTTTGATATTGTATGGCGTGCGATTCAATCAAGTTTAAATTATTTTCCAAGGTAAAGTGAATTATCATTTCTTGTTTAGTTCAATGTTTGCTCATGTGGTATTGCTGTTTTGTTTTTTTGTAAGATTTAATTGTCTGTATCATCATACTGTAGTGAAGGAGAACACAGATGAGAGCAACCGAATTGTATTTAACGAAAATTACAGAGTTACTCGGTAAAATAGGAAAACCATATCGTCAACGGTTAATTTGCAAATCTTCAATCCATCATCAATCCATTGTCTGACATTTCACCACTATTCATGCGTTTCATACAAATTCCATTGTGTGTTCCCACTCTTCCTTTCTTCTTGATCTTCCCCCATCTTCTGCTGTTAGACATTACGTTTACACTCGCGTCATATACTACTTATAAGTAGCTCACACCACAATACCATATGAACATTGTTATACTGGTAAGCATAGTAAACTCTGTGAGATATCGGCTCAGTGGTCTAGAGGTTAGACCGTTCATGTACAAGACCGGAGGTCTTAGGTTCGATTGCTATGAGTAGCGGGAGTCATGAATGCGCACTGCTACTGATGAATTCCATACAGCAGGACGAAAGTGCCGTCTTTCAGTGCTCCAAGGTTTTTTAGTGATGGTCTAAAATTGATCGATTCATGATTTCAAAAAAGTAGGTATACTTCATCAAAAATTCATCGAATTAGGCGAATCTTAACGTTTTCATAACTCACTACAATGACTGAAATAAAAAATCTCGCAAACAAAAAACGGACTAAACGTTTCTTGAAAAGTAATGGCTTCTTTCAAACCAAGGCTCACCGTTATTGGTCATACTTTCAGCAGAATATCTTGAAGTTAAAGATAACCTGATTATGACGTTATTATTGAAAGATTATAATCTATTCATGGGATGTCGCTGATAAGAAAATTAGCTGACATACGAAAAACACTGTAGTCTCCTAGTAGTAAGTTATAGAGTGTATATATTAATAAATGAATGTTATGCCTGCACGTAAACACGTCATTTTGATATGCTTGAACTATTACGAGTTTACCTCGTCGGAGAACGAGAGCAAGGATCGAGGATACGGTGACAAGACATGCTACTCGATCCGTTTATCCCAACCCCCATTGGATGAAAGAAGAAAGCTTGATATGAAGTAGAACCTGTATTCTACAAGAATCCAGAAAGTACGATGTCCGAGTCCAGAAGAGAATCAGGATCTCGGACTAGGGATCCGGGACCGGGTCCTGGTCCTGGTCATAGAACGTTACAGATGATACGTATTTATACATGTTGGTCGAATAGGAAACAGCATCGAAGTCTGTGACATTGACAGTTAAGACGACCAACAGGAAGCAACATGAGAAGTGACATTGATAGTCAGGACAACCAATAAGAAACAACGTTGGAGCACGTGACATTGATATCTAGGATGACCATAAAATTGACCAGTAGGAATGAACCAATAGGAATCGACCAATAATTGTCTTAGAATATTGGATGAAAATCCTAACAATGAATAAACATTCATTGAAATCATAAATCAATCATTGTTAGACCATCATTCGAAAACCTGGATGACGGTTTCGTCCTTATATGGGACTCATCAGTGGTAGTGCGCATCCATGACTCCCGCTACTCGCAGCAATCGAGCTGAGGACATTCGATCTAGCGCGTAAACGCGTGAACCACACATCTGAACGACATTAAATTGTTATTTTCTTATGATCAAGTGTTTTTTAAATGTTATATAGTTTGATAAGCTATCAGCGATTTTTCTTCATTTGTTCATTCGACTGGAAGTAGACATCTATTTATTGATTAAGTAACATTGTTATCAATGATTTTTTATCAGACCCTGTCATAATATGACTATAATTAGTGTGTTACAGTGGCCAAAACAAGGCACATAGGGATAAACGTGATTCAGGTCATGACACAACATATACAAACTGTTAGGATATTCATCCAATATCCTAAGAGAATTATTGGTCAAATCCTATTGGTTCATTCCTACTGGTCAATTTTATGGTCATCCTAGATGATATCAGTGTCACGTGCTCCAATGTTGTTTCTTATTGCTTGTCCTTGTTTATCAATGTCACAGACTGCGATGCTTTTTCCTATTCGGACAAGATGTATAAATACGCATGATCTGTAACGTTTTATGACCAGGACCAGGACCTGGTTCCGGATCCGTAGTCCGGGATCCTGATTCTCTTCTGGATTCAGACTTCGTACTTCCTGGATTCTTGTAGAATACAGGTTCTACTTCATATCAAGTCTTCTTAATTTTACCCAATTGGGGGTTGGGATAATCAGATTTGAGTAGCGTGTTTTGTCCCCGGATCCTCGCTCTCGTTTTCCGATTAGACAAACTCGTAATAGTTCAAGCATATCAAGTTGACATGTTTACGCGCAGGCGTAACAAAAACCATCATTGAAAACCTGGAAGTAATTATAGACCAACTCGTCCTAGTGTGGGACGCTTCAGAAGTGCAAATGCCCGATAACCGATCGTAGGATTTCTGGTCTCGCGTACGAACTCTTGGCCAGTTGACCATTGTCCTACCTTAACATGGTTTCAATGCTTAACTTCAATCTGAATACTTGAATGAGATTTTATCATGTATCAGTACTGTAAGTCAATGCATTGGTTAACATTTAGATACATTTAGAATAGGTCATTTGTAAATTTTTTCAAGGTCCTTTAGTCATGGGGTGTTAAGAAAATGTAACAAGTGAAATGTACTGTAACTTGTTTTATAATGGCTAAATATTAAATTGATCTACACAACATGTGCATACATAGACTAATGAAATTTTAATTAAGAAAGGTGAGTCATATGAAATGAGAAAGATAAATGTACCAATTAAGAACTCGACGCTAAGCCCTCACTTGTTACTCTCAACGTCAAAGGAAAAGACGAAGGCCAAGGAACACATTACGCTGAGAGATGGAGACAGACATGTGAAGGATGAACAACAATTAGGCAAAACTGGAAAGGGAAGCTCAGAACAGAGTAGGTTAGAGTAGACTATGGTCATTGACCGATGCTTTATTGGGGGTAACAAGCATAAGTAAGTAAGCAAATACGTAAGAAATCGACGTCCGAGATAAATCTAAGATAAACGTTCTGATAATCGATTGAACCAGTTTTCGGAAATGGGATGCATCTAAAGTTTAAACTGAAAAAAAAGTTAAACAAGAACGTCAACTTACTCTCATTGTCAAATCATTAAAGCAACAACAAACTAGAGACTTGATGAACTCACCTTACCAGTGAACAGTTAATTGATTGGTTGGAAGAGTACTAGAACCACCACATCAAGTAAAGGGCGTGTTATATTTGTTATATAATTGCTAGAGTTTAATTGTCAGTTGAATTGACTAAGAGTTAGACATGAACAGCGTTCGATACCAGGCTCTGTAGTCCAGAAGTTAGGCGTTCGTACACAATATCGAAGGTCCTGGTTTCGAATCCCGCGAGTAGTAGGAGGAGTCGTGGGGGCGCACTGCCACTGATGAGTCCCATACACCAGGACGAAACTGTCGTCTTTCAGTGCTTCCAGGTTTCTAATGATGGTCTAACGCTGATTGATTCATGATTTCAATGTGCAACTTAACAAGTTTCACAATCCCGTCATGCAACTTTGAACTAATCTCTCTCTATCTATCTAGCTATATATATCATCTGATTGTTGAAATTTGTTATGATATCATTCGAAGGAATAAACATATTTCCTCACCTAATGTGTAGTTGTGTGTCTGTTTCATGCTACATTATTGTCTGTGTTGTGCATATCTATGTGTGTATATGTATACATGTGTGTGTGTGCGAGTATTGATCATCAAGACTTCTTGTGTGTATGTATGTGTTATCGGAAGTACATATTTCCTAGCTTTGATTTTGTGTCTCTCAGTCATGTTGTGTGTTGTCCTCCCTCTCTCTCTCTCTCTCTCTATCTCACTTTCACTCTCTTCCTATTTCCATCCACTTCATTTCATTTCATTCTTTACCATTTTCAATGACTTGTTGCCTTATCACAACGATAATGATGGCAACAATTGCAGACACATTGTCAATGTAATGAAAAATTTCAATGAAATTTCTCTTTTGTGTACAACAGACGAGTTGAATAAGTGTTAAGTCCCGAATGACGATAACACGCATCACAGTGTTGTATTCAGCCCACATCCGGTCACTGATTCATTCTTTCTTATATACACACCCCAAAGATTTAGATTAGTTGGGATCGGTAGAAGGAGAGTGAATGTCTACTGGAGATCGATCGATCGGTCAGTCGGTCGATTAAAACGCCTAGACACAGACATACAAGTCAGGGTGAACATTTTACCCAATGCATAACTGATACAATTTAGTTTAGTCTGTAACAGATATATAAGGAAATCATTCAACATATCAAGGGGGAAGCAGGAAGACATCAAGTCATTTGATGATATATGGAGGAGACATGAGATTTATGATTTAAAAGATAAGAAATGTATATTTTAAATTGGCTCCAAAAACTGTGTTTTTTATTGATAGATAGGATAGATAATATGTGGCTAGCGATGAAATTTATTTCATGTATAAAACTTGTGTCATACATAGGGGATACTTGTATTGCCAACGAAGACAACAAGATCAAATTTCAGTCGAAATAACAACTATTCAAAGCTTTTTTTAAAGTTATGTTTATTGATGCCTAGCTTCGCTGAAACTGTAGTTGCATTGGAAATTCATATAGGCTCTGTTTGATTTTAGCCTACAAGATTTCGGTTAAATTACAGTGATTTTTTACCGAATACTCTGAAGAATCACGCCACAGAAGCAAGCAAAGATGAGTACTGCACTTAAATCAGCCGGGGACTCAATGACACAGATAAGAAGATATTGAGTCAGGAAGGATAGTTAGTGAATAAATTGTACTATTTTATAAGTTTACACACAAATTATGAACAGATACCTAACTAGCTATTCTAATTAAGGGAGAATAATCACATACTAAGTCTCTTAGTTAGACAATCAATGAAAACATTGGAGCACAAGGCAGTTGTTTCAATTTTGGTATGAGATTTCGCTGTAGTGCACATTCACAAGCGTTTTTTTGGGTAAGTTTTTTCCAGGATGGGGGTCGCCAACCCCCACATCTCAACTCTCCTCCTTTACCCCGGACTTGGGACCGGCAGTAGCCCCGAAGGGTCACTTTTTAAGTCTATGTCACTAGATTTTACCTCTTCAATAATATCTTCTAATCCTGATCTCGCCGATTACTGCTAATATGACCTTACTACCTAATACTACTATTGGATTTGAATTGACAGTTACATCTCTGTGCTAATGTGGTGTGGTATGGTGACGTGAATTGATGTACGTACGTACGTACGAAGTTTTACGTTGCTACTGATTGATTGGTTGACTGACTGCATTCACAAGCGCAGATTAGAGAATCGGGCTGGGAACTTTCGGTTTTGTACGAAGTTTTCAATGTTATAGTCTGTCTAAAATCTCTGTACTGACAAAATGAATTGAGTGAAGGTGGCAACCAGAGTGACAGTCTCTCTATTCCAGTCGATAACGATGTGTTGAAAATAAAGGTAACTCAATGAATTCGATAGCAATCTGCTTTGAAATCTTTTTTCCTTTTGATTACATCATCGCATTTCTATATCATTGTCTCATTTCATGTCATCTAATTTTTTTTTCATTTACAGTGTACTAATTCGTTTATTCAGTTCATTTCGTGAAGCATTGGAAACAATACGTGGATCAGAATTTTGTGATAATTTAATATCGAGTTGTATATTTTTACGATTAATTTGTCCAGCTTTATTGTCACCTTCATTGTTTGGTTTAATTAGTGCATTTCCTAGTGAACCAGCATGTCAACGTAATTTAACATTGTTAGCTAAATCATTACAATCATTGGCGAATTTTAGTACATTTGATGATAAAGTAAGTTGTTTAGATTATATTTCTATTGAATACTGATATATATCTACTTTTTCGTTGAATATTAGGCAACAATACTGTTACGCCTGTACGTAAGCACGTCAACCCGATATATATATTACGAGTTTACCTAGTCGGAAACGCGAGAGCGAGGATCGAGAATCCGGCGAACATGACATGCTACTCAAATCCGATAATCCCAGCAGTGAAGGAGAACACCGGTGAGGGCAACCGAATTGTATTTAACGAAAATTACAGAGTTACTCAGTAAAATAGGAAAACCATATCATAAATCGTTCATTTGCAAAATATCAGTCCATCATATCGAACTGGATTGTTCCTGTTGCAAAACATCAATCCATTGTCACTATTCATGCGTCTCATACAAATTCCATTGTGTTCTAACTCTTCCTTCCTTGATCTTCCCCCATCTTCTGCTGCCAGACATTACGTTGACACTCACGTCATATACTACTTATAAGTAGCTCACACCACACTCGTTCCCCCTTTTAATAAGCTGTCGTCGTAGTCTTTCTGATTGCCGTTTTGGTGTCTTCGTTGGTGCTTTCCGTGACTCACGCGCTTGATAATCTTGAAACCACCTCTGCAGTTGACTGGCATTCACGCGTTTTTGGTTGTCTCCTTTCCGTATCGTGTAAACAGAGCCACGTCTCTCAATAACAATGTACGGTCCTTCCCATTTCGGGAGCAGCTTCCGATGCTACGATGCCTTTCCGTTCTCTACATTTTACCCATATTTAGTAAAAAATAAGAAGACATGATATGAAGTAGAACCTGTATTCTACAAGCAACCAGAGAGTACGAGGTCCGAATCCAGAAGAGAATCAGGATCCCGGACTAGGGATCCGGGACCGAGCCCTGGTCCTGGTCGTGGTCAATAAACGTTACACATAATGCGTATTTATACATTTTGGTCGAATAGGAAACAGCATCGAATTCTGTGGCATTGACAGTTAAGACGACCAATAGGAAGTAACATTTGAAATGACATTGACAGTTTGGTTGACCAATAAGAGACAACATTGAAGTATTTGACTTTAACAGTTAAAAAGACCATAATTTTGACCAATAGGATTCGACCAATAATTCTGTTAGGATATTGAATGAATATCCTAACAAATATTTACTAACTTACTGGAGGACCTGTTACCCTCAATACATCATAGGCCGCTGACACTTGTATTCTCCAACCGTCATTCCCTTCTAGTTCTATCCAATTAGTGTTCATTCTTCTCAATTTCCAAGCATAATGTGTTCCTTTGTCTTCCTGTTTTCCTTCGTCCTTAGGAGTTTCGAATAAGGGCGTGTCTTGTGACCATTTGGGTGCTTTCCTCAATGTGTGCCCTATCCACTTTCAGCATTTTTTACTAATCTCTTCCTCCGCTAGAATCTGGTTTATTCCATTCCACATTATGTCGTTGTTGATGGTGTCTGGCGAGAGGATTCGCAGTATTTTACGTAGACAACCCTTAATAACTATTTGAATCTTCTGAATGATGCCTTTGTTTTTCCGCCTCAAAGAGTAGAACTGCTTTGAGATTTGTATTGAAAATTATGACTTTGGTGTTGGTTGATATTTGTTTTGAGTTTCAGACATTTTTCAGTTGAAGAAATACTGCCTTTGTTCTGGCATTCCGCAACTTCACATCTGTATCAGATGCTGCACCTTGTTTAAGATTACATAATTTTTAATAATATCTTATCACTACCTTTTCAATATGATGAGGATATAATTTAAGTTTGATGAATTGTGTCTTGTTTTATCATGCTAATTTGTGTTCGGATAGTCAGTCGCCATGTTTCATTTAAACGAGGCATCAAGAATTTGATAGACCAACAGCCCCTAAGAAAAAATATATGTACGCTGATTTACACACATCATGGTTTTGAGTAGTAGTCTGCTTCTCCTATAATTTAGAAACACTTATAACTAGCTAACTCTTTGTTTCAAGGATTAATTTTTTTCTGTATTTATTTTGAATAAGGTTTAGTCAATTAGTCAGTCAGTCAGTCAATCAGGTAAAACGTAGAACTTCGTACTTACGAACATCAGTCCAGGTTACCATACCACATTAAAACAGAGAGGCAAATGTCGATTCAAATCCCATAGTGGTAGAGATAGTAGAAGTATAAGTAGTAATCGGACGACAGATTAAGGTTCGAAGATATGATGCGCCATTGCAAACGATTTTGAGCCATGTCATTCAAGGTCTCTAACCATAGGTACTATCATCTTGCAAATCCTAACCAGGTAGTCTACACCTACGAACAAGGCTCATTTCAGTTATCAGTGATGTCATGGTTACACAACTTTGACACTGATAAGGCGATAATCTAGCTGAATTTTTTTTTTTCACAAATATTGATTTTAATTGACGAATTGAAGACATTCTGGTACCATTGTTGTCAGTTAAGTGATCATTCATTTTCAAATGACTTTCAATATTCCCCGATGAAGTCAATCGACATGCTGTGAATAAACCACATACATGTTGATTTATCAATTGATAAATAGAAATATACATTACGGGGTTGTGAAGATTGTTAAGTTACACATTTTTGAAACCATGAATCTAACATTGATCGATTCATGGTTTCAAAAAAGTGTAACTTAAAAATCTTCGCAACTCCGTAGTGCAAATTACCTGTGCTCACTAGTGACTAGCTTCTTCGTGAGAAATCTCCTAGTTCTAGTGGGAACTCGTGACCAGTGAAGTTCAACTTGTTCGGGTATAGACAGTAACTACTACCGAAGACTGTGTATGAGGTTGTGCGAGACCGTGAATTGGTCGAAGTTAGACATTAGCACCGTTAGGTACTGGCACAGTGGTCCGATGGTTAGGCGTTCGCGCGCAATACCTAAGGTCTTGGGTGCAAGAGTCGTGGATGCGCACTGCTGATGAGTCCCATATCAGGAAGAAACGGCCGTCCAGTGCTTCCAGGTTTCTAATGGTGGTCTAACATTGATCGATTCATGGTTTCAAAAATGTGAAATTGAAAAATGCGGAAAGTGTTTACTGATAATAATTGTAAACATGTAAATATGTGCATTTAACGATAACTGGGAACTTTCTTTGTGCATGTACACACAAACACATATGTGTGTGTGTGTGTGCGTGATTGATTGTACAAATTCCGTGATTCATTCATTCATGTATGTTTTAACACGTAGAAATCATGAATCGATCATTTTTGAAAAATCGTACAATGTGCTCACTCTTAACTAGCATCATGAAGAAATTCTCGGAGTTCTTCTAGTGAGAAGACGTGACCAGCGAAGTTCAACCCTATTGAGTGTAGGCAACAAGTGTCGAAATCAGATAGGTGAGGTTGCATAAAATCCCTAGATTGATCAAAGTCAGCCCATAACACCGTTGGATACCGGCTCACTGGTGCAGAAATGTAGAAGTTTGTGCGCAAAACCAAAGTTCCAGGGTTGGAATTCTGTTAGTAGAGTAACAGGAGTCGTGGATATGCACTGGTACTGATGAGTCTCATTGTAAGACGAATTGGCCATTTTTCGATACCTCCAGGTTTCGAATGTTGTGGTGTCTAACAATGATAGATTTATCCTTTCAGTATGTAAAAGCAATGATCTGTATAACTCTAATTGAAAAATTATTTATTTGTCAATCACGTAGTCGGTCAATACAGTTGATTCAGTTATATCGTATCGCCTCCATATATATTTGAGTTTGTTCCTACATTCAAATTAGTTAAGCCCCTTTTGATTAACTTATTCAACTAAGTCATTCGTCTAGTAATAACTTATATAGTGCCATTGGCTTTTAATATTGTCGGGTTTGTATAAGCATCTGTGACTGAATATTGATTGCTTACCTCCAATGTGCATATTCATTCTGTCCACTTTATAATTAGTCTCCATGGCTCATTCATTTTCCTGCGTATATGGTATGTACATTTTTATCCTATTCATTCATTCACTGACTGTCTGGCTTACTGTTAGGTTCGTCACTAGATACGCTAGAAACTATAACGGGTTCACCTTAGACGATAACGCGAGCGAGACAATGAACCAGCGCGGAAAGTATATCCTACAAACACCCAGTAAGCACAATGCAATCAAGCACACAGAAATCGCGTTCATTTATATGTAATAGAAACGTCCTTGGGACAGTCACAAAAATTACTCTCATACTTACGCCTGTTACCTCCAATGGAGCATAAGCCGCCCACCAGTGTTCTCCAACCAACTCTGTTCTGGGCTTCCCTTTCCACTTCTGTCCAATTTTTGTTCATTCTTCTCATACCTTTCTCTATTTCTCGGTGTAATGTGTCCCTTGGCCTTCCTCTTTTCCTTTTGCCTTGAGGGTTCCAAGTGACGGCTTGTCTTGTGACGCAGTTTGGTGCTTTTCGTAGAGTGTGTCCTATCCACTTCCACCACCTCTTGTTGATTTCCTACTCCGCTGGAATCTGGTTTGTGCTCTCCCACATCAAGTCTTTGCTGATAGTGTCTGACCAACGAATCCGAAGTATTTTGCGTAGACAACTGTTCATAAACACTTGTATCTTCTGGATGATGGCTTTGGTAGTTGTCGAAGTTTCCGCTCCATACAGTAGAACTGTCTTGACATTTATATTGAAAATCCTGATTTCGGTTTTGGTTGAAAGTTGTTTGGAGTTTCTGCAGGGTCTACAGGCGGAGTCAGTCACAAAAATAGCACGCTAAAATAACACAGTAACCAATAACAGCCAAAGATTTTCCTGGTGGGAAATGAAGTCTCAAGGTCAACTGATCATCCCATGCTCGCAAACGTGAAATCCAAAATAAGTCATTTATCAAGCGAATTCTTACTTACTCCTTGGCACTCGCATTTCATTTTGGTTTTGGTTGTCTGTCTGTGGTGCGACAGATAAACGCATTCAACGCTTCGTTTTCGTTTCGTGATATACACACCGTTGCGCGTTATCTAGTAACCATTGTCAGGACGAGTAGTTTACGACGTCTAAGTATAAATCGAATACACACCGCTATAATACTGGTAAGACACCAGCCACCACAATGTGTAGAGCTAAGTTCAACTTGTCAGATGATAGACACAAGTGTATTGAAAGATGTGACGTAGAATTTCGAAATCTCAAATAAACAAATTACGTACTTTTACACACACATACTGAGATTGACTAATGATTTGAGAACAGTATAAAGAAAGATGAAACCAATGTAATTTCTTTTATATTAGCTAACTTTTTATCTCCCACCTATCTTGTCATTTACTTTTTTATTTTATAGGAACCTTATATGAGATTTTTAAATGGTTATGTATCCTATCAATTGTCATTTATGCGATTATTCATCCGATCAATATCATCGTCTTCATTGAATTCACCCAGTACTACTGATCCAATGCCTAATGTCATCAGTACTCATTCTGTAGAAATGATGAACAATCCCGCATCATCGTCAACACCATCATCACCGCCAATAAGTGATTCAGAACAGAGAAACATATCCACAACAACAGCATCAGTGAACAGACAAAGTTATGTTAAAGATACCATTGATGAAAATTGTGAATTGGCTAATCTTCATCTTATTTTATCTGATGTCATATTTTCTGATACACCAATGATATCTGTTCATAGTAATGATGACACTTTATTATCAACGAGAACTGCTACTCTTACTACTACTAATAATAATAATACTACTACTAGTACTCTTAATACTACTGTTACTGCTGATACTACTATTACAAACAATGTAGTGTTTGGTAGTACTAGTAGTAATAATAATAGTAATAATAATAATCTGACAACAGTTCATTCTACATGTGATGATAAACATTGTTTGTCGAATTCCACAACAACATTACTTGAGAACAGTACAAATAGTTTCTTAGTAAGTTAAATTTTTCTTTTCAGGCGATAATGATTTTTATGAGACAGTGAAAAAAATTTAGAAAAAAAGAAGAAACTATTTTACGGTTGCTTTGCTTTGTACTTAGAGTTATTCATACCCGTCATGGAGCATAGACAGGCCACCGATAAGAATTCTCCAACCGAAGCTATTCTGGAATGTTTTTTATCCAGATATTCTTAACTGTTATTCGTTCTTTCGTTTTCTGCTTCCGATTGTACGTTGGATGTGTTACTTGGTCTTTCTTTCCAACCGTTACCTTGAGGATTCCAAGTGGAGGCTTTCTGTGTGACGCAATGTATCTCCGATCCACTTCTAGAATATTTTTTTCCTAATTTCTTCCTCACTTGGAATTTGGTTTTGTTCTCTTCCACAGTAGGTTGTTTTTGTTGATGATGTCTGGCCAGAGGATACAAAGTAGTTTGTATGGATAACTGTTGATAAACATTTGTATCTTCTAGATGATAGCTTTTGTGGTTCTCTAAGTTTCCGCTACATATAGTAAAGCTTTCTTGACATTGATATTGAAAATTATAACTTCGGTGTTGGTTGATTTGATTTTGACCAATTTGGTCTCGTGTACTGTTACGAGTATGAGGGCGGTTGTCACTTCCCGGCTGCCCAAACCGTGGAGGGTTGTTTCTTGAGGGACCTGAAAATCAAGGTGGATTAGTGTCGGTCTTAGAGACCCGGGTGCGTGACCGCAGAGCCCAACGGACAACTGCTTGAGGCCGGTCACGCACGGCCTTTTTATGAAAGGTGTTTTGAGTATTAGCTCCGCTCTTAGATCCCTTAGTGGGCACCCTTACCGCCGGCGACGGAAATCCGTGACGTAGGGTGAGTTATGGCATTTTTAGGGTCGACCTTTTCTAACCCTTCTGTCCTTGTGGTGTCCGTCAGGGATATCCACTTTGTCCATTCCTGTTTAATTTTATCATAGACATGCTCCTAGATACAACGTTATCATCGTCTGAATTTTCAGGAGTAGACCTTTTACCTGGTTGCTCGCTTATTGACTTAGAATATGCCGATGGCATAGTTCTATTCGGTGAAGACGATGAGAAAATGCAGTCTTCTGACCACCCTAAGCAACAATGCAAGCATGTTCGGGATACAATTCTCCCTGTCGAAATGCAAAATGTTGCTTCAAGATTGGGTTGCATTGCCACCTGAACTAGTGGTAAGGAGTGAAGTAGTCGAACGTATTGACCGCTTCACTTATCTCGGGAGTCTCATCAGCGCCGATGGCCTGGTGACTGCCGAAATCTCAGCTCGGATACAGAAGGCTCGATTGTCTTTTGCCAACCTGCGTCACTTATGGCGCAGGCGAGATATCCGCTTGTTAACCAAAGGACGAGTGTACTGTGCAGCAGTTCATCCCGTCCTACTTTATGGATGCGAAAAATGACTGTTAAGAGTAGAGGACTTTCGTAAGTTACTAGTCTTCTATCATAGGAGTCTCCGAAGCATTGCTCGTATATCATGGGGCATCCGAGTAAGCAATGCTGTCGTTAGGAAACGAGTTCTAGGTAGGGATGGCAAAGCAATAGATGAATTAGTGAAACTTCATCAGTTGAGGTGGTTGGGACATGTTTTACGTATGCATAACCACCGACTATCGCGACGAGCTATGTTTTATGGTGTAGGAGTAGGTTGGAAGAAAGTTAGGGGTGGCCAGACCAAAACATGGCAGAAATGCATGAAGTCAGTGACAAGTGGATTGAGTGATATTGGTAGATGTAAGCTATCTGGTTGGCGTCCGCAAGACGAAAGTCACCAATGGTTACAGATCTTGAACGAAAAAGCTCAGAATCGTTTGCAATGGTGCAGGTGCATTCACTCTTTGTGTGCTTTTTAATTCTAATCTTCTGAATTCCTCATCATGTCTATCTTTCTCTTTCTAAATTTATCTCACTGAATTATATTTCTCAAATCATATCTTCGCTCCCTAATCTTCTCCATTGCTGCTAATAATTTTACTATCGCTTTCACTCTTGGATTTGAAGTGACAGTTACGTCTCTGTGCTGACGTGGTATGGCAACCTGAACGTAGTTCTGCGTTGTATCTGTCTGTCTGTCTGTCTGGTGTTAGTTGTTTTGTGTTTTGAGTTTCAGACGATCTGCAATTGGTAGAAATGCTTGTTTATCAATGAAGCTGCCAAGATATGTAAATGTTTTTACATTCTCAAAAGCCTCTCCATCAAGTGTCTGGTTCAGTCGATGCATGTTTCGTTGTATCACAGAAGCTTGCTTTTTCCCTTGTGTTGGTGTGGGGGGAGGTTGTGGTTGCGGCTTAGATATTTGGTAGTGCTAGTCATTTCACGAACTCTTCAAAGTGTTCTGTCCACCTGTTTTGTTGTGCCTGAATGTTGGTGATTGGTTTGTTTTCTCTGTACTTAACTGTTTATTTTCTAGTTTAACATACTTTGGGGAGAGCTTCTTTGTTGTATCGTATAGTTTTCGCATTTATACTACTCTTGTTACATCTTCCACACAATTTCGCATATCACCTCTCATGTTTCTGTGTACTCGGATTGAACCTTGGTCTTGTTTACTAGACTTCAGCTGTTACTGATCACTGTCTTCCTGCTCTCGCTTCTTTGAATCTTATCCAGTGTATCAACACAGATCTCTTCTTTGTGAATCGTATTTTTGATGACTAGAAGCCTTAAGGCATGTTGAATTAAGGCTGCTCTAATCCTTTTCCATTTATTCACAATGGTAGTTTCCTGTTCTTTGAATAAATCTTGTAAGGCTTGGAACTTATGGCTGAGACTTGTCTGAATTCGTTGAGTTTGCTAGTGTATTGCTTCTACGTACATTAAAGTTTGCTCATATTTAATTTGGTTTAGCCTTTCGGAATAACTTATTTAACGAATCCAATTGTATAGCAACAACTTATATGTACCTATTGGCTTTGATTATTGTCTGGTTTATATGAGTTAGTAAACCTATAGCGCAGGCGAGATATCCGTCTGCTATCCAAAGGACGAGTGTACTGTGCAGCAGTTCGCTCCATCCTACCGTACGTCTGCGAGACTTGGCCGTTAAGAATAGAGAACTTTCGCAGGTTATTAGTCTTCGATCATCGATGTCTCCGAAGCATTGCTCGTGTATCATGGGACAACCGTATAAGCAATGCTGTCGTTAGGAAACCAGTTCTAGGTAGGGATGGCAAATCAATAGATGAAGCATTGAAACTTCATCAGTTGAGGTGGTTGGGACATGTTTTACGTATGCATAACCACCGGCTACCGCGACGAGCTATGTTTTGCAGTGTAGGAGTTGATTGGAAGAAAGCTAGGGGCGGCCAAACCAAAACATGGCAGAAATCCATGAAGTTTCACTGACAAGCGGACTGAGTCATGTTGGTAGATGTAGACTACCTGGCTGGGGTCCGCAAGACGAAAGTCACCAATGGTTAGAGACCTTGAACGACAAAGCTCAAAATCATTTGCAATGGTGCAAGTGCATCCACTCTTTGTGCTCTATGAAATTCTACGATTCTGCATTCCTCATAATCTCTCTTTTTCTCCTTCTAAATTTATCTCACTGAATTATACTTTTCGAATCATATCTTCGCTCCCTAATCTTCTTCATTACTGCTAATACTTCTACTATCACTATCAGTCTTGAATTTGAAGTGACAGTTTCGTCTCTGTGCTGATGGGGCATGGCAACCTGAACTAATGTACTTATGTACAAAGTTCTGCGTTGTATCTGTCTGGCTGTCTATATGATTTAGTATGACTAAACATCGCTTACCAACTACGCGCATATTCATACTATTCGCTTTAATTTTAATCTCTTGAATATTTCGATGACTCAAACATATTTTACTATGTATATTTATGTACATTGTAATCTTATTAATTCAATCGCCCATTCACTCACTCCCTAGCGTGCTTGCCTTTCTCTGTGTGGTTGTGGTCTGCTGATGCATTTGTAGTGTGTCAAAATGAACCCATTCAAGACTTCTTGTTCACCTTCTGTTTTATAAACGATTGTCCGGACGAGCAAATTACAAAGTCTAAGAACACGTCAAATTACCGAACGTCACGAAACGAGTGATACTTTGGCCACCATATACCAATATCTCGATAAAAATTAAGCTACTTTCATATGTGAACACTTTTTATCATTCATACTATTCGATAAAACATTCTCTATTTTTCTACAGAAAACTCCAAATTCAACTGTTTTAATCAATTTACCAAATGAATTATGCCAACTTCCAAAAATACTCGATGATATTTCACGTCTATTACAAACTAGTTCATTAACAAAATCTTTTGATTTTAATAAAACTAGACATTCTGTAAATAATCACAATATTAATCATCCAAGGAGTCAGGATGTCAATGATCTTTCAAATTCCTCTTCAATTAACAAATATCAACAATCCAATTTGATTGTCTCTTCATCAAACAATGATGTTGCTGATCATCAGACCAATACACAATCCACTACACCATATTATTATACATTTCATTCAAATCCAGGTTTTTATAAACCATCACTCATCGATCAATACAACAAAAATAATGAGACAAATTCATCACAGGGATTATTATTATTATGTATACCGCCGCCTTCATTGAAACAATCCAATGCATCATTGAATCATGGTGATGGCGATGCTGATAATCATGGCGGCAGCATAATGAAATCAAATCCTAATGATTACGATGAACCATACGTTAGTGATGATGAAAGTGATTATGAAATCAATCATTTTGCGATCAGTAATCATGATTGTTTCAGCAATGCTAATCCGGAGAAAAAAGTCAATATTATTGATCATGAACCTCATGATCACGATGAGCAGGAGGTGAGTGTTGTATCGCATTGTTGTTATCTAACAATACATGTTTGTCTTTCGGTTATGTTATGATTGAAACTATGACGAGTTTAGTTTAGTTGGTAAACGAGAACTAAGACAAGTGATCCAGTGACTTGATGGACTAATCTAATCCGAGCGTCCCGAGCCCCCACGAACGGTATTAAAATGTCTTGATATGGCGTAGAAAGTGTATTCTACAAGCACCTAGAAAATATGAGGTTTTGTACGGAAGAAGAAGAGGAGCATAAAGCTTTATAGACAATGCATATTTATACAGTTAAGTTGACGGTGAATACTAACCAATAGGAAAGAACATTTAAACGAATGTGAACTTGATAGTTTAGAATGACCTCAAATATTGACCAATAGGATTAGACCTACAGAATAATTTCTTTAGGATCTTCGATCAATATCCTAGCAGTTTAGTTGCATTTTCTTGTTCGAAAATTGTACTTCTCGCATAATATTCTTGCTCCCCTATCCATTATAGTTAAAAAATGAAATTTTTCTTTAACTGATTAGACAATAAATTTTAACACATTTAAAATCATCAATCAATTATTGTTAGACCACCATTAGAAAACTAGAAGCACTGGAAAACGGTCGTCTAGTCATGGTATGGGACTCATCAGAGGCAGTGCGCATCCACGACTCCTGCACCTCGCAGGATTCGGACCGGAGGCCTTCAGTCTTGTGCTCGAAAGCCTAACCTTTGGACCACTGAACCGGCTTTCGTCACTGTTAATGTCTAACTCTGATTGATCTAGGGATTTTGCGTGACCTCACCCATTTGTCTTTGGTAGTTACTGCTTACACACTACGGTGTTGAACTCCACCGATCACGTCGTGGATGCACACTTCTGATGAGTCTCATACCAGGACGAAACGGCCGTCGTCCAGTGCTTCCAGATTTTTAATGGTGGTCTAGCAATGATTGATTGATAATTTCAAATGTGTATAAACAGTAGTCTCCATAACTCTAATTGAAAATTAATTTTTGAAAATTGACCTTCATAATATTTGAGTTTATAATTAAACTTTACTTGAACTTTGCGCAATAATGTCAGTCGACAGTTAAATTGTCGGTCTGATTACCAAAGACAGCAGAGTTCATTACACTGTGTATCTCGTTATCTCGGAATTTATGAGTATGGAGGATATCCTCTGAAAGAAAGCGTGTACAGATAGTTGATGCTTAGTCATTGGTGTCTTTAAACCATCGCCTCTAAATTCGTATGCATAACTGTAAATCTAAAGGCTAAATATCAAATAGGGATGGTAAAGTCGGCGATTACATTGTAAGCTTTCGTCAACTGAGATGGTTGAAATATGCAGTACACCGTGGGTGTAATACTAATACTACCATGTCGTAATTACCAGCATGAAGTGGCTTTGATAAAGGTTCAGGATGTTTAACTCAATTCATGATATTATCAGTCTATGTAGTCCATTTTGCTTGTGAAGAGATAAAAGTATTTATAACTGGAACAGAACCAAAATAAGTCGATTCATAGAAGGAGATAAAGACGACAAACGAATCTGTGTTATGCACTGTAACTAATTCTAATCTATTTGAATATACTATACTATACTAACATATATAACCATTGGTCTTCAACCTTGTTGGGTGAAGGCAGTTACTTACCCAATAGGGTGAAGTCGCGCAAAATCCCTAGATCGATCGGAGTTATACAAAAACACCGTTGGATGCCAGTCCAGTGATCTAGGGGTTCGAAGATCCTAGATTTGAATCCTGCTAGTTGCAGCAGGGGTCGTGGATGCGTACTGTCACTGATGAGTAGTCCCATACACCAGGACGAAACAACCGTCTTTCAATGTTTCCAAGTTTCTAATGGTATGATGGTCTAACAATGATTAATTGATGATTTCAAATGTGTAAAACCAATGGTCTCCATAATTCTAATTAAAAAAAGGGACATGATAAACTCGATTGAAAAATTACCAGGGAATAAGTCAGTCAGGCAGCTGCAACGTAGAACTTCGTACGTAAGTACATCAATTCATGTCGCCATACCACATCAGCACACAGATATAATTGTCAATTCAAATCCAATAGTGGAAGAGGTAGTAAAGGTATTAGAAAAAAATCGGAGAGGTTAGCATTAGAAGATATTATTCAAGAAGTATGATTCAGTGAGAAAAGTTTAGAAAGACAAAACTAGAGTTGTTGAAGAACCCAGAAGGTTAGGATTTGAGAGAACACAAAGAATAAATGCACCGGAGCCATTGCCAACGATTTCGAACCATGTCATTCAAGGTCTCTAACCATCGATTATTATCATCTCGTAGACCCCAACCAGGTAGTCGACAATTACCGACATGACTCAGTCCACTCGTCAATGACTTCATGGATTTCTGCTGATTTCGACCAGATTGGTCTCTCGTGCTGTTACGGGTATGAGGGCGGTTGTCACTTCCCGGCTGCCCACACCGTGGAAGGTTGTTTCTTGAGGGACCTGAAATGGAAGATAGATTAGTGTTGGTCTTGGAGACCTGGGAGCGTGACCGCAGAGCCCAACGGACAACTGCTTGAGGCCGGTCACGCACGGCCTTTTTATTAAAGGTATTTTGAGGATTAGCTCCTAGTGGGCACCCTTACTCAAGGAGACGGAAATCCGTGAGGTAGGGGAGGTGTGAAATTTTTAGGGCCGACCTTTTCTAACCCTTCCTTCCTTGTGAGGAGGCAGCATCGCTGCAGATGCTGGTTGTCCGAGGGAAACACCTTACTGCTGCTGTCACACCCCTCAGCAGTCAGCAGTACGACTTCGCCCTCAGACCTGGGGTAGCTGCTTTTAGTCTCATCGTTCTCCAATCGACCTGCCTGGCATGGTAGGACCTGCAGGAACATATGTTACAGCCAGTATAGCTCGGTTGGGTCATCACGATAGGCAAGCCCGACCACCACCACGTCAAGGTAGCAGCTACGGTCGGGACCAGGGAATAAGACCAATAAAATAATAATGTTGGAGAAAATTTGTAGCTCAGCTGGATGTTTTGATCCATCAAATTCAGAGAACTAAACACCACCATAAAATAATAGTAAAATTTACAACTTACAATTTTTGGAGAGATTAGGTTTCAAAATAAAATTTAAAAAAAACACATTTTTAATAAAATCGATACACATGTGAAACACATAAATTCATGTGCACAAGTAAATTGATCTCTCTTTATCAGAATATCATTGATGATTGTATCTAAACTCCATAGTAATGATAGATTTGTATGTAAACCGATATTACATATCTATGCAATATAAATGCGTTTTATCATGGAACATACTACATATCTGTTATATAATAAAATACATGAGATAGTGTTGGGTACGTTAGATCCCCAGAACTCGTTTGATAAATGCCTTTATTTTGGATATTGTGTTTCCGAGCATGGGCTGATCAGTTGACCTTGAGATCACATTTCCCACCAGGAAAATCTTTGGCTGTGATAGGTTACTGTGTTATTTTAGTGTGCTACTTTTTGTGACTGATGTATAAATAGACGCGATTTGTATGTGCTTGATTGCATTGTGCTTGCTGGTTGTTTGTAGAATACACTTTCTACGCTATATCAAGACTTTTTCGTTAGTTCGTTTGGGTCAAAGGATCAGAGTAGCCTACCTGGACTCTGGTTCGTTGTCTTGTTCTCGTTATTCGACTAAGGCGAACTCGTAATAGTTTCACATATACCTAGTGACGATCCTAACAGATAGCTTAAGAAGTGAAAATGAACAGTAACATTGATTTTACGATGTATTTATAATCTATGCTGAGAGACATTAGAAAAAGGTTGTAATAACTCAAATGTAATCAGTTTTCATTTACTTGTAAACCGTAAAATGTAATATGTATTGCATCATTTGCATTCGTTTTTATTTGAACTATGTTTTTCAACTTCATTTGTCATTATCGTTCATCTCTTCTCGTTGTACTGTTTACTATGAAATGAGCTATCACTCTGTCAATCTTGACAGTATCCGAGCTGGGTGATTTTTCCCGTGCTGAGTCGAATTAAACTGCAGGTTTCATTGTTGATGGTGCCCACCTGTCAATTCCTTTAAGTTTAAACTTTTTAACCATACTCCCCCCCGGGAGCCAAAAGACTTGAAGGTTTCCTGGAAACTGGCTGTAATGTCAATTATAGAACCAACTCGAATCGTCAGTTGACATCGTTTATAGTCAGAACTATGACGGTATCCGATCCTCTTCGAAACTCTGACTTTTTCTCCTGATCAATGAAAACATTCTTAGCAAGTGCTTTCACTGTAGTTTGACTGTCGGTGATCCCAGAATCTCACCTAACACCGCCATAGAAATGCCTCTGTCTAGTCCTCTTTCTCATTAGTTCGAATCCTTAAACCAACAAAATAGAACCGAAGTCCTATTTCATTCTTCCGTGCAAGGATTTTCCGGCTCATAGACCTGCTTTGGGCTCTCAAATTTGTTCAAAGTAAGGATGCCATTCGCTCCTTATACCCGGTTAAAGGTATCCAAAAGCATGCCAACAGGACTACAAGACGAACTCATCATTTCATTAGCACCGGTTAATCACAGACACTGCCGAAAGGCTGCACAGTTACTACACCGAGCCGAACACAGGTCCTGATCGTAACCAAAACTTTGAACAAGCAACGACACACCACCGTACAACCCGAATTCAACTACAAGCTTTTTAACTGCAGCAACTTTAATATAATCTTTTGGAACTAGGGTTCTACTTTGTGATTGACTACAAAGGAACACAATAAGTACCTGCGAAACATCTATTGTGTTATGTTTGCCACTAGAGCGACTAAAATACAATTCGACTTTTGGCACTGGGACAAGTAGATCCACCTTTCTTAGGTTCCAGTACAAAAGCCGGATGAAATAGAACAAATCTTTACCCCCTACTAACTGTCCTAATACACAGATAAAACCGTGTGCAACCACAGATTGTTATTTAGGGTGAAAACAGCATACAAAATCATT